GAGAGGAGGGGGGAGAGAGAGGAGGGGGGAAGAGAGAGGAGAGTAAGAGAGCAAGAGTAAGAGTAAGAGTAAGAGAACGAACACGACCAGGGTATTGATATTTATGGGCTTAACACAGGATGAGGAGGAGCAAGGTGAGTGGCTGTTACTTCTTCATTGGCTGAGAGTTCACACCACTTCAGGGATTGGAGGAGGTGCGCCATTCAAAGTTCACGCCATTCACAGGGATTGGAGGTGACGGTATGTCCAGTCTGTAGAGCTGGTAGAAAAAGCCTATGCCCAGGAGAAGACAGACTAGAACATATAAAGTTGAAAACCAAGGACTTATTTTTTTTTTGGCATGGTGGGGTAGAGATGGGCCTTCGGTGGAGTTGTCATTCAGTATCTCCATCTTTTAGCACTTGATGGAGGTTTCTTGGGATGACTAGATGTTCATGTTGTCCGCTGGTTGGCAAGTAGCTGGTAATCCCTGAAGAGGAGCAATCTGAAGGCTGGTGGTGGATGTCAGGCAGGTGATCAGAGGAGTGGACTACGACAGGAACATTTGGGCTTGGAGTTTGGGAACAGGGTTCTGCCTTGAGTGACGGGAATCCCCGTCCCGGATTTCGGTACCAATGTAAAGGACGATGGAAAAGCTCCGTAAACTCAACAAGCCAAAACAACCGTTTACCTGTCTGAGATTTTATTAGCAGGACCATAGCGGCCAGTCGAAGAGAAGAAGGGAGGAGAGAGAGAGAGGGAGGGGCGAGAGGGGGGAGGGGGAGAGAGAGAGAGAGGAGAGTAAGAGAGCAAGAGAGGAGACCAACTTTTATCAAACCATTGTATTTTGGATATTATTCGTTACTGCATCATATATTCGCCTATCCTGACTGCTACAAGGTGCATACACAGAAATCAATCCATATTCAAATGAAATACCCACTTCAAACCAGTAAGAGGAGTCCATTCAAATGCAGAGAAAATAGAGGGGTTAAAATAAAAGCTCATAGAGTTAATTAACAAGCATCTTATTGAGTTTAAAACACCAGCAAGCTCAAAAAACAACTTGTTTGTGTTACGTTTCAGTTGTTTACAAATCCAAGAGGATCACACAGAGCATGAGCACAGGGGCTGCCCTTCTCACTGTGCGTGGGATGCAGGGGACTGGCTCTCTCAAGCCACAGAGGGGCTTTTGTGTCCAATAATAGCATCACAGGCCCCAGCGGGCTTTGTTTATTCATCCACAATAACTTCTTTCTCTTGCCAGTTAGAGCCAGTTGGGATATGGAATCAAAATTATGAACAGACTAAAGGAAAAAAAATTGTGCTACCCAATTATAAATAAATAGAGGGGTAGATTTCTCTTTGTGGGAGACAAGTGACAATCCCCACTAGATAAACCAGGAAGAGACCAATGACAGAAAGGATGGTTTCACATAGAATTCTTTGTCCCAATTCCTCTGGTGGGAAGTCCTGACTGTGTTTGCTTAGAGGTCCCCAAAATGCCTGAGGTAGCATCAGCTCAGCCACACGAAAAGAAAAAGCTTTTTGTAGATGTATGCAAGGAAGAGAAAACTTAGATTTAATATTTGTGTAATTAAAGAAAATCAATGGCTTATGCTTAATTAAGCCTAAATAGTGAGGTACATCTGTCCAAAAAAACCCCTTTTTTCTAACCATATTTTTTTTCCTTAAATACTTCAAAAGTGTCAGGTGGAAACCCCAAGTGTTGATTAATTTTCTTAAGATTCTTTTATTGCCAAGTTACAAACTTGCTGGTATAATTGGGCAAAACTCTCACCCTTTCTGTCCTCATGGAATAGAAGACCTCTAAGGGTCTCTTAGTTCTGGAAGAAAGAAAAAAAAAAAACTATGATGCTTTAAAAAGCAATATCTGGGCTGGGAGGCGCATGCCTGTAATCCCAGCAGCTCAGGAGGCTGAGTTAGGGGGATGGAGGGTTCAAAGCCAGCCTCAGCAAAGGCTAGCGCTAAGCAACTCAGTGAGACTCTGTCTCTAAATAAAATACAAAATAGGGCTGGGCTCAGTGGTTGAGTGCTCCTGAGTTCAATCCCTGGTACCTCACCCCCCAAAAAAAGCAATATCTGGGGGAGAAGTGAGAGCCCATTATTGTATACAAATGATGCATTTTCTGGGACAAACTGGTCCCCGAATCTGACCTTAAAATCTAAAATCCCTTTCTTCCAGATGGGCTTGTTGCTGAAGCGAGTCAGATTGGCAGCATCCAGGGTTTCCGGTGCCTTAGAAGTGTGTGACTGATGGGCCATGAGCAGGTGAGGTCCAGGCACCTGTGGCTGAAGGCAGCCTCTGGGCGGTGGAGACAGGCAGGCGGGTGGCCCAGGGTGGTCCCTGCCTGTCTTCCTAGACATCGAGGCGTGTCTGCGGGCTGACCAAGGTGCATTGATTGATTTGTCTGCCAGGGACCCTTTGCCCTTTTCAGGGACATGGATGCCCTCTTCTGGAGGAGAAAGATCCCTTTTTCTGTTTGAACCACGTGGTCTTGGTCGGGGTCTCCTGCTCGGACGTCCACCCCTCTGGCCTTGCAAGTGAACCCAGGACCGAAGCTGGGCCCACGACCTCTCAGATTTTTCTAGCTGGGGCTGGAGGAAGAGGCTCCCTGGCTCTCTGGCGTCCGTGCTGGGAAGGAAGGAACTCTCACTCCCCCGGGAGCCCTGTGCAGGGAGCCCATTACAGAGAAGCTGGAACCGGAGCCAGGGCCCTGCGGGGAAGGGGGGCTGGAGGGCTGGGCGGAGCCTTCCCTTGCACCCTGGCGAGTCTCAGCCAATAGATTGCGTGAGTGGGCGGGGCTTGTGGAAAGCAGGGAAGGCGGGAGGAGGGATGGTGCTCTGGCAGCTGTTCTAGGGGTCCAGCCTTGGAAAGCCGCAGGAGAAGGGCCAGTGGCCTCCAGGCCACTCGGGAAGGGCAGGCAGGACCAGCAACACCCTCCCCTCCCCCCAACTCAGCCCTTTGGAGAGATGGCTCCAAAGGACCCTCCAAGATCGCACTAACCAAGAAAGAAGAAGAGGGAGCGAGGCCGCGGGATGGCTAAGCTTTAGGAAGTTTGGGGAAGAGGTTGGGGAAACAGTGGTTGAGAAAGAGAAAGAGAGGAAGGAGCGATGTGTCTCTGTGTTGAGAGACGGTTTTTGAGAGCAACTTGGGTTTCAGTGGGAGGATATGAAGAGGCTAGAGTAGGAGACCGCAGGCCTCAGGGGAGGTCATGCATTGTGTCTCCAGCCCGCGGGATGGCTAACCCAGCTACCTCAGACCACCCTCAACTTCTTGGAGTCCTGTTGGTTCTGCCTGTGTTCCATGTTCCACCAAGGTTCAGGCCGACTGCTGGCTGGACGGTGTGGGATTGGTGCAGGAAGACCCCCCTGAGCCAGCACCCTGGCTCCACAGGCCCCCTCAGGTGTAGCCCTGCCTTGCTTTCCACCCCTGTGTTACACTGGGCAGTGTGTGTGTATGGGGGAGGGGTCCCTGCGAAATGACCTTTACACTGAGCAATGGAGGAGGAGGCAGGCAGGGAGGTCATGGCCAGGCCTTGGCTGCCCAGGGAGCAGCAGGGCAAAGCCCCGAGTCAGGGCTGAGCTGGACTTTGAGGAACAGAGAGGAGTAGGTGTGGCTGGACTGTGGTGCTGCATGGGCTGGAGCAGGGAGGGACAGCAGGACAGAGGCTCAGCTTCAGATTCAGTAGATGCAGAGCTGGAAGCCACGCAGCGGGGCCCTGATCCAACTTCCTTCATTTACTTATTTTATTATTATTATTATTATTATTATTATTATTATTATTTTTGGTAGGAGAGATTAAACTCAGGGGCACTTAATCACTGAGCCACCACCCTACTTTAAAAAAAAAAAAAAAGTTGAGACATGTCTTGCTAAGTTGCTGAGGCTGACTTTGAACTTGCGATCCTCCTGCCTCAGCTGGGATTACAGGTATGCACCACCATGCCTGGCTCCTACTTCCTTTATTTTAAACACAAGGAAACTACATTTCAGAGAAGGTTAGCACCTGTTTAAAAAATGTTTTTAATATTAAAAATCTGCACAAGTAATATATGAAAGTTTCATTATTTAAAATTTGAAGAATTCTGAAAAGTGAAAGTCCCCATTTCCACCACCTCTTTCCACCCCTCCTGCTCCAATCCTCAGTCCCGCTGTTTTCTCCAGGGGAAACCCCAACCAGTGGGGAGGGTACCTTTCTTGACTTTCAGGGCTCCATGTGTACTAGTATACATACGTTTTTTGAAATGCATGGCTTTACTTGTCCTTTTCCTTTCCATCAATGAAATCATAGTATATATATTGTTTTGCAACTTACCTTTTTTTTTTTTTGAGATGGGGTATTGCTAATTTGCAGAGGCTGCCCTTGGACTTGCAGTCTCCTACTCCCAAGTAGTGGGACTATGGCATGCACCACCATGTATGACTTGCCACTTACATTTGTGCTTTGGAAATCTTTGTGATTTTGTTCATTTGGATGTACCATATCCCTTTTTCCTGCTGCACAGTAATTTTGTGGTTGGATACCCTCTATCATTTAACCTGTCCTCTGCCGATAGTCACTGGGGTTCTTCTGATTGTTACAAAAGAGCTTTGAGGATCAGTCACCCTGGGACACGCCTGTTTGGGCAAAGGTTTGGGTAAGGGATCAAGGGGCATGCACAGTGGAATTGTAGTCCATACGCCAAAGGACTCTTTGCAGAGGCTGCACCATATTACCCTACCAGCCACAGCACTGAGAGAGCCTGGTCCCTTAGCTCAGTCTGAGCTTCATCTTATCAACCTCTGTCATTCTTGCCACTCTGTTGGGTGAGCAGTGATATCTCTGTTGTAGTTGTTTTCTGTCATGATGGTAATAGGAATTTTTACCTTTTCAGGTTTTTTTTTGGTTGTAGATGGGCACAATACCTTTATTTTTATGTGGTGCTAAGAATCGAACCCAGTGCCTCACACATGCTAGGCGAGCGCTCTACCACTGAGCCATAAACCCAGCCCTGCTTTTCATTTCTGAAATAACATTTAGGCTTGCAGAAAAGTCACGAAAAGACAGAGTTCCAGTATACCAGCTTTTCCTAATGCTGGCATCTTACTAATCAGCATACAATGAGCCAAACTAAGAAAGTACCCTGGGTAGGAGGCTATGCACTACAGATTTTATTCAGATGTCACTGTTTTCCCCACTGTGTTCTCATTGCTCTAAATTCTGTTTCCCTAATTACTAGAGAGATTGAACATCTTTTCAGATATTTTTTGACCATCTGCATTTCTTCTGTAAAATGCCTGTTCAAATTCTTTGCCCATTTCCCTCCCCACCACCACCCTCCGGTTAGGTGTCTTTTTCTAATAATTTCTAGGGACGCTTTAAAAATGCTTCCAAGTTCACACAGACAATTTGGCCAAGCTGAGAAAAGAACCCCGTCTAATCCCCTATTTCTGCCACCAATGCCCTGTCCACGGCTTTTCTGGACCCTCGGTGGCTTCCTTTCTTCCTTGGCCCATGCACCGTGTCCCCAGCTGTCACAGACCACATTCTTATCAGCATCCCTCAAGCCAGCAGGCCACAGCAGCTCCGTCCTCCTTCCACTCAGCATTGCTGAGTGCTCAGCACTCAGGGGGAGAGGCTGTAGGGCTAGGTCTCGTCTGGTCACGCCTCAGTCTCTGGAAAGGCTCATCCCCTTGGCGCGGAGACAGGCGGCACAGAATGCCCGAGAGTGCACCATTTGGCCGATGGTCTCCTTCTTAATTGCCATCCTGGCGATCATCAGCCTCCTGAGCTGGCAGGATGGAAGCTGCAGACAGGATCCGTGGCGTCTCGGGAGCACTAGACCCTGCAGTTCCCGGGACGCCATCCTAGACGCTCAGCCCCTCCTGAGGGCACCATCTCATCCTCCAGCCTCAGCTCTGGAAACAGACAGGAGGTGCAGGGCAGGATGGGCGCCACCATGGGTGAGATGCAAGGTCACATCCTTCCTGGCTGTTCTGATCCCAATCAGCCATCGGTTCCCTGAGAGCAGGAGCCTGGCCTGTTTGCTTTGAGTTTCTCTCTGGCTCTAACGTGAGGCTAACAGAATCTCATCAGTTACAGTTCTGTTAAGGTTGGCAGGGGACACCGTGTGTCCTGTCCGTTTGGCTGGGGCGGGGGTGATGTGGTGGGTTGAATGGTCACCCACCCCCCAAATAGTTGCCTACCCAGAATCTGTGAGTGTGAGCTCATTTGGAGGAAGGATCCTTGTGGATCTTTGTAATCAGTTAAGGACCTCACGATGAGATCTTCCTGGGTTATCCAGGTGGGCCCCAAATCCAGTCACAATTGTACTCACAGCGAGTTTTTTTTGTTTTTATCAGGGAGTGAACCCAGGGGCACTTTACCACTGAGCCACATCCCCGGTCCTTTTAAAGTTTTTTATTTATTTAAAGACTGGGTCTCACTAAGTTGCTCAGAGCCTCTCTAAGTTGCTGAGACTGGCTTTGAATCTGTGATCCTCCTGCTCTCAGCCTTCGGAGTTGCTGGGATTGCAGGCGTGTTCTCGCCTGGCAGGAAGAGGGAGATTTGAGACATGGAGAAGAGGAGAAGGCCCTGTGGAGATGGAGGTGGAGGAAAAGCAGGGGTCTCCCTTCCCCCTGGGGAGGGTGCACAGCCCTGCAGGCACCCTTTTCCTACCTCTGGCCTCCAGGCTTAGAAAATAGACTTTTGTTGTCTGAAGCTGCCGCTTTATTACAGAAACCACAGGAAAACAACACAGGCAGGAACAAAGCAGGGCACTTAAGCTCACAACCCTCAGGGGATGACGGGAACCAGCCCTTTGTTGTCTGAATGGGGAGGTGAGCCCGGATGAATGTGGCGAGCCTAAGCGAATATCTTTGTGTCACACTTGTGTACAGCAGCCTGTTTGGAGTCCCTGTAGGTGACAGGTGAGGAGCAGGATGGTGGCCCTTTACCATGGGGGGGAGGTGGGGATTTTCTCTGGAAGAGGAAGGGCAGGATGTGGTGTGAAGCAGGTGACGGTGGCTCCCAACCCCTCTCTCTCCTCAGGTTATATCAACCCGGAGAGTCACTCCCCTGACTTGAGAATCTCCCAGCAAGGACAGGCCTGCCATGGCCTGAATGTTTATAGTCCCTCCAGATTCCTCAGCTGACCCTAACCCTGACGGTGAGGGCATTGGGAGCCGGGCCCGTGAGAGGCCATTAGCTCAAGAGTGGGGAGCCCCCAGGAACGGGGTTAACAAGGCTCCAGAGAGCCCCAGAGTTCTGCCCTGTGAGGGTAAAGGAAGTGGCTTTTACTAGAGGCTGAATGTGACAGAGCCTCTACCTTGGACCTCCCAGCCTCCAGACCTATGATAAACCAATGTCCGCTGTGTGTCACCCGCCCAGTCTGTTTTATTTTGTTATAGCTCAGATGGCTAAGACAGGGACTTTTCAGGGTTTCACACAGGTGACTGCTTGCTCCCAGGGGGTGGGAGGGGGCTGGTGGGTCTCCTGGGGTTAGGTCCTCTTCTCTCCCTCTCTGCTCCACATTTAAGGCAGGTCTCAAGTCAGCCGGACGTGGTCCTTGCCAAATATACTCCCAAACCACAGAAATGGGGTCCCTTCTGCAGCCAATACCAAATGATGATGTGACTTCCGACCATCCCTCATGCTCCTGAGCTGCCCTGGGCCCGGCCACCCACTGGCGGTGGTGCATAGGCAGGCAGGTGAGGCGCATCTCCGAGTAAGACAAGAGGAGTGGGTGCTGGGCCTACAGGGCAACAGAGAGCCCTCGGAGAAAATTCAAGAAGAAACCAGAAGTCTGGAAGGTGAGATCAGCCAGGACCTGGCAGCAAACTCCAGAGACCAGAGAGGGTGCAGACTTTCCTCTGGGTTCCCAGCCTCTTCCCTGACCTGTGGGCTGATCCTTTGGTTTCTGGATGGCTTCTCTGTAAGCTAAGACCCTGAGTCAGAACCACCCCGCCAAGCTACTTGTAAATGCCGAGCCACAGAAGCCTCACACATGCTAGGCCAGCGCTCTGCCTCTGAGCCACAGCCCCTGGAGTTGGATCTTTATTAGAACACACAGACCTTCCTCCAAACTGGAGACTGCTTCATATTTCAATATGCCACGACTTGTGGGATGGTTGTAAGCCACTCACCATCAAAGGACAGGCCAAGACCTCCAATCCAATAAGCAGCAGCTGCCACCCTTCCCGCCCCTCTCATCTCAGGCTGACTTGGCGAGGGAAGAGCCCAGACTGAGCACTGAGTGGGATGCCCTGGCAGCGCCTTTACGTCCCTCCTCTTTGCTCCCCCAGTGTGTGGTCCGGGCCTCTGTTGTGGCCCTCGGGTTCTCCGTGTTTGTTTACACAGGCACACAGCTGCTCCACCATCCATATCCACCAAACAGGGATCGGCAAGCTGCCAAGTCCATCCTACTGTCTGTTTTGGCAAAGTCGTACTGGAACGCAGCCACGCTTTATCAGTTTTCTATGGCTGCAGAGCAAATTATTATAAACACATCTACCGTCTGGAAATTTCTGTGGGTCAGGAGTCTGGGAGCAGACTGGGCAGTCTGGGTCCTCTGCCCGGGGTCTTGTGAGGTTGAAATCCCACCTGAATCTCAGGTGCTCTTCTAGACTCTTTGAGATTGTTAGACTTCAGTTCCTCGTGGTCATAGGACTAAAAGCACCATCTCCCTACTATTGCTGGGGCTCACTCTCTGCATCTGGAGGCTCTGCCATTCTTCCCACAGAGCCCCTCCATTCTCCCTCGTGTGATATGGGAGACAGTTTGCCTCACCTTTGAGGCCAGCAGGGAGCATCGCTCTGACACCCTCCATCTCTGACCTCTAAACTGTCTTGAGAGAGCTCATTGGAGTCGGGCCTGGTGGGGGCCTGGTGGGGGCCTGGTGGTGCACACCTGTAATCCCAGCAACTCCAGAGACTGAGGCAGGACGATTGCAAATTCAAGGCCAGCCTCAGCAACTTAGCGAGGCCCTAAGCAACTTGGTAAGAACTTGTTTCCCAATAAAAAGGGCTAGGTGGTAAGGTGCCCCTAGGTTCAATCCCTGGTACCAACAACAAAAAGGAGCTCACCTGATAATGTCAGACCCACCTGGGACAATCTCTTCTTTAATTAACTCAAAGGCAACTGATGAGTAGGAGACACCTGTAACGTTCCTTCATTTTGCCACACAGGGTAACCTGATGGTGAGACAGATGTCCCTTCAGATGCACAAGTTCTGCCTGTCCTCAGGGGAGGGAGGCTTCTCTGGGGCCTGGATACGGAGGTTCCTGAGTTCTGCCCACTGTGGAGCCATGTCTATTATCTATTGCTTCGGGCTGCTTGGGGCTTCGCCTGCAGGCTTGCCACAGACCACAAAGCCTGAGACGTTTACCACCTGGCTCTTTGCAGGAAGTTTGCCAGCCCCTGATGGAGAGTGACAGTTCTGACATCGGTGCACATCCCATCCCCCTGAAGGCTGCAGAAATGAACGATGGGTCTTATCTTCAGAGCTGAGGGTTCAGCCGGGCTGGGGCGAGACTTGGAATGTGCATTTCTAAGAGGTTTCCAGGTGCTGCTGAGGCTGCCAGATCAGGGCCACGTTTTGAGAACGGCGGCTCTGCAGCGGGGCTTCTGACATTTTAATACGCACGCAAGTCACGTAGAGCTCCTGTTCAGATTCAGACTCTGGTTTGGGAGAACCCATCTCCAGAAGGAACCAGCCTTTGTCCCTGCCCTCCTCAGTCTCCCTGATTAAGCCAGGTGGATGCCTGAGTCAAGGGAACATGGCTTACCAATGGCCAAGGACAAGACCCTGAACAAACAGGGCAATCTAACCAAGGCCAGAGCCTGTCCCTCCAGAGTCTGACCGGTGGCTAAGCAGACTGGACTGCCTTTGGTGGTGATCCCTGGACCCAGAGGCAGGATGTGGGGTTGGGCCAGTGCCACCATGGGCCAAGAGCAAAATGAGTGAGCAGAGGCAATGGCTTAGGGAGGGAAGGAGAGGAAGTGGTGGTGCAGAGCTGGCTGGGAGAGGCGGAGAGCTTTTAAAATCTCCATTCCCAAGGTCCCCGGTGCTCTGAGAGATGGCTCTATCCTTCCGATCTGCTTTTTTGGCTTGAGCTCCTTTGAGTAGGTACTTAGTCTTTGAAGTCCAAAGGGGCTGAGCATATATCTGTGTGTCCCCTCAGCCGCCTGCCACGGTGAGATTCTCTCGGTCAGGGACCGTGTTTTGGTTATGTTCCTCTCCAGGACCTTGGACAGAGCCAGCCCTGGGGCCCTGGAGAGTGTGGGAGGGATCTCAGTGGAGAGTCCTGGATAGGAACTCCCAGGAAGTGAGGGGACAGCAGAGCAGGAGCTTGTAGAGGGTGTGGAGGCCAGGAGGGGAGGCTGATCTCAGGTGGCCTTCAACTCCAGCAGGGAGGCCTTGGAAGTCCCGAAACTGGGGGAACGCAATGAAGATTAGTTGTGTTCTTTTATTTAACAAGGATCCTAATGGCCCAGGTGATGGATGCTTTTCAAAATATTTTCACGAAGGACTGGGGACATAGTTCAATGGTAGAGTGCTTGCCTAGCACGCCCGAGGCCCTGGGTTTGATCTGCAGTACAGCAAAAGCAGGGGGCATGTAAGAATTGTACATTTTTATAGGGTACTGTGTGTGATGTTCAGATACATGTAAACAATACGTAATGATCAACTAGAGCCATTAGGGTATCCATCACATCATCTCTCCCTGGGGAGGACCTTCACTCCTCTCTTCCAGATATTTTGAAATTACAATTTTTTTTTTTTTTTTTTTAGTATCGGGGATTGAACTTAAGGGAATTTTCCCACTGGGCTACATCCCCACCCTCCCTTTTTCTTTATTTTAAGACAGAATCTCGCCAAACTGTTGAGGGCCTCTCTAAATTGCTGAGGCTAGACTCAAATCTGTGATCCTCCTGCCTCAGCCTCCCAAGGGGCTGGGATTACAGACTGGAGGGTACTATGGCTCCTGGCTTGAAGTTACAATGTTTTATTATTAATTATAGTTATGCTACTCTGCAAACAAAACAAAAACAAAACAACAACAACAACAACAACAACAATCACTGGAATTTATTTATGTCACGGCTGCCTGTTGCCCAGCCTCTCCCCAGCAACCTCTCTCTCCTACCTTTCCCAGTCACTGGTAAGACTTTAACATTGGAAAGGAGAAAACAGATTCCAGTATAGGATCAACAAGAAATGGTCACGTGCTTAACACTGTGCTAAGCCTCAGAATGGGACCATTAATTCGATAAACCAAAAGGCAGAGATAAAGTCCAGTCTCACTATTAATGATACACAAATGAATGTAGATGCTGTTTGTCATCGTTATCAGGTTAGCAAGGACGCTGTGAAGCTCTGGTGAAACTGTCACTTCCATATTTCACAGCACACATAGAGGATAAATTGGCCCATTATTTGGAACATAATTTAGCAAGATGCATTCTAAGCTTTAAAGATTTTCATATCCCTAGCTTCCCAGAAATCAAATGACTAGATCTATCTTACAGAAATTTCTGAAAAATTAGTTTGTGAAAACCCAATTAAAAAATGAGACGAATTTTCGAGCAGATAGTTCCCCAAAGAAGACACACACGGCAGCTAATAAGCACATGAAGAGATGCTCAGCATCACTGTCCATTCCAGAAACGCAGACAAAAGCGACACCAGTTACCACTCACACCCATGAGGATGGCCACTAACGTAAATAAACCAGAAAATAATAAGTGTCCGTGAGGATGTGAGGAAATTGGAATCCTGTGCACTATTGGTGGGAATGAAAAATGGCACAGGCTCTGGAAAATAGCATGGCACACCCTCAAAAAATTAAACAGAATTTATCATATGATCCAGAAATTTTACTTCTGGATGTACACTCAAAAGAATTTTCATTCTTATGATGAAGGGTCTTGGGAAGAGAATTGGTGCATCCATGTCTGCAACAGCATCATTCACAACAACTAAGACGTGGGAGCAATCCAAGCACCGATTGGCAGATGAATGGATAAGCAAGATGTGGTATGCATATACAGTGGAATATTACTGAGTCACATAAAGGAAAGGAATTCTGCAATAGGGTAGAACTTGAAAGAACTTCAGGAACATTGTGATAAGCAAGATAAGCCAGTCACAAGTATTGTGTGATTCCACTTGTGTGAGGCACTTTGGAAACAGGAAGGAAAATGGCAGCTGCCAAGGGCTGGGTGAAGGGGGAGGGGGACTGAGTATTTAACAGGACAGAATTTCAGTTTTACCAGATGAAAAGAGTGATGGAGCTGGCTGGTGGTGACAGTGTGTGTCATTAAGTTTTTGACACTGCTGAACCCTACACTGAAATATGGTCACTTTATGTTATACATGTTTTACTACAATCTTTAAAAATGGAAAATAAAACTCTTATGAATGGAAAAAAAAACACCTGTGTGGAAATTAACTAAAAGTTCAGTCAATGTGTTTTTTCCCTAATTTCCAGTTTTCTTTTAAAACATAATAAACAGGAAAAAGAAGTTACCCACGGATAGCTGAGACCCTGATTCCTGCTCTCCCTTTGCTGGCTGCCCTGTGCCTGGCTCTGCCTGGCAGAGGGGAACACTTCATGGACTAGGGGAGCTTGGTTGTTTGGTCCTGTTTTCATCTGGTCTTCTCCAGGGACATTTAGTTGCTATGCACAGGGCTGGACGTGTGGCAGCCTGGGCCGTGGACATCTATTGAACAACATGCAAGTTTCTTGTGGCTGTTATAACAAACGACCACAAACTTGGTGGCTTCTAGCATCCGAAACGTGTTTTCTCACAGTTCTGGAGGCCAGGAGTCTGCCATCAGTACCACTGAGCTGCCACCAAGGGATCCATGGGACTGTGTTCCCTCTGGAAGCTCCA